TTACCCTGACCTAGAGACTGCTTCTGAAATTCATCTCCCACCCTGTCCTCCACGGGGCTTCAAGCCCGGCCAGGCTGAGCTCTGTACTAACTCGACGCACGGCTCCCAGCTCCCCCAGCTTCGCGCCCAGCCCCTGCGCCACTGTTGCTGCCCCTGCACCTCCAGTGTCACTGTCCCAGGCTGCCAGAGGCCGCTCAGTGCACTGTGCCCGCCCCTGAGTCACCACATCCGCCCGTGTGGTCCCCAGGGCGCTCCTCACTACCCGAAATTACTCTTCCTCTGTGTTGGGAAAGCGGAAGAGCTTCAAGATCGGTTTAGCAGCTGCAGCCCCACTTGTAGCAGTCGTTCGAAGGGGTGGAACGGATGAGTTGTTGGTTCAAAAAAGGTGCGCTCTTACGATTTTGACAGAGGCTGCCGAGTTGCCCTGAGAAAGGCCAGACCAGTTCCCCTTCCTGCACCTCCACCTCGCCAAAATGCAAAAGTCAAGAAACCAGGCAAAAACAAAGGCCATCTTGTTCTAAATTGCAGTTCTTTACATCTAAGTTTAATTGGGCATGATTTCATATTAGCCATATCTATGTCTATCTTCTATCTACGTACCTATCTGGACAGTTCCCAGCTTATAATGCTTTGACTTACAATTTTAAATATTTATGATGGTAAAAAAGTGATATGCAGGGCCGGGGATTTAGCTCAGTGGTTCCGCTGCCTGCCTAGTATGCGCAAGGACCCGAGTTCGATCCCTGGTACCAAAAAAAAAAAAAAAAGTGATATGCATTCAGAATAAGCAGAACTTCAAATTTAGAATTTTTATCTTTTCCCAGGCCTGGGATATCTGATGCTGTCTTGAAATGCTGGCCAGCTGCAGAGCCACAGCTCCAATCCCATGCATTCCTAAGGTGAACAACCACTGTTCTACAGTGCACTGTACTGCTAAGCTGTGATGCTTCGTAGGCTAAGTGTATGAAATACATTTTTGCCTTACAATATTTTCAACTGATAATGGGTTTATAAGGACATGAACCCACCATAAACCGAGGAGCATTTATATGGGGTTTCCCCCCTAACTTCCTGTTCATGTCCTTTGCCAATTTTTCCTCTTTGGTTGTTTTCCCAATGATTTGTATGAACTCTGTTTGTTGAAGAAAAAGAGACTCTGTTTGATCTTATTATGATAAATATATATATATATGTTGCCTGCAGAAGTTTTATATTTTTATTTATTTATTTATTTAGTACCGGGAATCAAACTCAGGACCTTGTGCTTGTCAGGCAGGTGAGGCACCAATGAGCTAAATCCCCAGCCCAGAAGTTTTATGTTTTAGGTAGTCAATTTCATCAAATTTTCAGTTTTTTAAACCATCCTTAGAGATATTCCAAGATAACTCCCTCCATCTATCTATCTCATATATATGTGTATATAAATTATATATATGTATATACATACTATATACTTATAACTTATGTTTTAGCCTGGCATTTTTGTGATTTTTACTTTGAAATTTTTAATCCATCTGGAATTACTTTTGGTATGAGACATGAGATGAAAAATCCAGCCTTTTTACTCTCTTCCCAAAGTGGGGAGCCAATTACACTAAGATCATTGCTAACAACACTCCCTTTTCCTTATGGGTTTGAAATGCCGCTTTCACCATCCACAGTACTCAATTTCTACCCGCACTGAGATGTATCCCTTCCTAGACTCTTTTCCTTTGATGTGTCTATTTCTGTTTTGTTGCTCCTTCTGTCATAGAGTTAAAATATTTTTATGTTTGTTGGGGCTACTCTTTTCTTTTCAGTTTTCTGGATATCCATACATGTCTTGCTTTTTTAAAAGAATTTGCGTTGTGACTACAGGATAAGGAGAGATGAAGACAGGCACCAGCTGGTCTGGTGGACGCTTCTCCCTGTGGCGGCGGGGAGGGAGTGCAGACATTATGTACCCCACAGCATTCCAAACTGCAGCCACTTTCCCTATACCACTTTTTTCATTTTTGACATATCTCTGTGTTACTTGCTTTATTATTAATTCTTAAATTACAGTACTTTAAAATGTTTAAATACTTATATTGAGCTCATTCTACATAGCATCTGTGAAAGCATGGATTTGATATAGTACTTACATACTGAACTGAACAGATCAACAATTAAAATAAACCTTGTTTGTCCATGTGGCATCTAACATGACTGTGTGTTCCCAGCAAGCAGAGAAACACTGGCCAGAGCACTGCCACTTAGATGGGGCCCAGGCAGCTGGCTGGTTCTCCCTGTCACTCAGGCAAAAACCTGGTTGTACAGGCGATGGGTGTGTGAAAATCATCCTGGTGTTCACTTATATGATATGCACTTTTCTGTATAACTATACTCCAATAAAATGTTTTAAAAGCTTTGAAAGTCTCACAAGTCTTGCTGCATTGTTTTGTGCTAATTGCTGGTAATAAGATGTGTTATCTGTGCCCTTGAACAGGTTAGACAAAGAGGCGAAGTAGGGGGATGGCTCTTGGAAGACACGTGCTTAGCATGTACAAGGACCTGGGCTGGGTTTCAGTCCAGCACCACTGGCCACCCTAAGCAATAGACTAATGAAATGGAAAACACTGCTCTAATTTAACATGCCAGTAATAGTTCTCTTTAGAGTACTGATACTTCTGCAAGCAAATTCGTCTTCACCAAGGGCCCCATAGGTCTGAGAAGGGCTACAGATTCATAGGCCAGCCACAATGTTCATGGGATGAAAAGATGTCAGCAAAGTTATCAGTAGGGTCAAATTAGACAATAATGTCAAAGGCCAGAGCCTTGGTATCCTTATCTTTTAACCTTTATTAAAGGTTTCCAGAGATAAATGGAAAATGTTACCCTCACCTCACAGAGATCAAATTAAGGAGTAGGGCTGCAGAGAATCAAATATCTTATACTGGGCTGTCACAAACACTTACTCAGATACGAGTAACACACACCACACCCTTCTACCCTAAGGTGATTCTGGCTTTTAGGCTTCTACACTCTCAGCTTTCATCGTCTTCCAGCTGCTGAATACCCTGGGCACTCATGTTAATGAAGATTATAAGTTTTCTGATGTAAAATAGAAGCCGCTGCTTTCCAACATGGACATCTAAATAGATGCATGTTTTTACTCTAAAAACAGTATAAAATAATCCATTTTCCTTTTGTTGGTAGCCATGGAGACTAATTGCAAATATTTCAGTGGCTGAATAACACAAAAGATGACAACACTCTTCAAGGGCATCTATTAATATGCTTCACACCAAGAAACAATAAAAACAGCAACCTTAAAAAGTAACCTACAGGTTTTCAATTACAAGTCCCACTGGGTCTCTCGATTATTTGGGGGCCAATGAATAGGGGGAGGCAGGCAATTGCTTGTCAGAGGAGATCTTGCAGTCTTGCTTTCTCCAGGGCCTGTTGAAGGCCTACTCATCTCCAATTTCCTGCCATATAGGTCTCCATCTACTTCTGTCTCTGCCCTTCAGTTCAGAACCATTTCTAGCCTCTCATCTTCCCTGAACTAAAGGCTTTTGTGCATTGTTGCTAACTTTAAAAGGCTTCTCTCCATCCAAGAGTCCCCAAGATACCTTCCTAAGAGGGTGCCCTCACATACATTTATTTATTTATTTATTTATTTATTTATTTATTTTTGGTACCAAGGACCTTCCACTTGTGAGGCAGGTGGTGGCACCACTGAGCTAAATCCCCAGCCCCTCTCACTTTTAACTTACACTTTCAGCCTGCCCTATGTGCATAATTCTATTTCTGGAAAGCTTCTGGAGTCTTCTGTCATTTAAACTTCACCTCCAGTTTCTCAAAATCTAATTGCAGAGTTGCAGCTTTTGTTGTTTCCCCAAACAAGTGATGTAACCCTTTGTGTCCACGGAATCCTCCTGAACCATCAAACCAGGGATTAGTATAAGGCTTCCAATTACAAAGAGCCCGGTACCAGGTGATGTAATTCTACCAAGAGTCTCAGACCAGGGTTTAAGACACAACCCGCAGAGTGGAGCATCTGCCAGTGCTAGCCTGCAGACTACTCAGAACTCGGGCCTGGAGGACGGGCAGGGCAGCCCTATTCTGAGAGGTTGTTCTGAGCTCTAGGTACAGGACAAAGATGGGGCAGGGGTGAGGGCTCACTGCTCGGAGGATGACAGAGAATGGGCAGCAGACAGCAGAAGACAAAAACAACAAGAGGAAGGAGGACCCAGCCAGGCACAGGACTCCTTACTCACTTCAGGTGCAAACTGATGAGGCCACACAGTGTAGCCTCCCAGCTCCTAACTGTGCTCACATGTAGCCAAGTGGCTGACGTGCATTTGTTGCCCTCTCAATTTTCACACTGCAATCTGATGGAGATGAAGAAACTTTTGCGTTTTTAATTTGTGAATTTTAGCTGTTATGTGGTCCAAATGCTCCTTCCACATTCAGTTAATATTATAAAACAAGGAGTCTAGCTTTGGAGAGGGGGCCAAAGGCATGATTAAGGAGTAAGGATGCGTATTTAAATCTTTATATCATTTTAGCATCTATGTTCTCAATCACATGATCTTTATTTTACAACATGGTATAATTCTTATCCTTGATTCAGTAAAGAGCTTTGTATCCTTCAAAAACCTCACTTCACCGAATCCTAGTTCCTTAAATTGGGTTCTCCCAGGGGTAAACTCTGAGTTCAGGACTGAGGTAGAAGAGGTTTATTATGGAGAGACTCCTACCAGCAAGGGAGTGGGTGGAGGAGGTGGGAAGAGTGGGCGGAAGGAGGTAAGAGGTGGGAAGAGGTGCTGGGCATGGGGCCCAGCAAAGGAGTGATGTACTGTGAGTGAGGGTGGCTGGGAGGGGGGTGGCCTTAGGGCTCTCCCTATGGGCTGACTGGCTCCAGGGCCAGGTTGCAGGTGCCAATATTTAACTGCAAAGCCCTTAGCTGGGGCTGGGCACACAAGGCCAATAGGGACTTCAGGGGACCACCAAGAGCACTGGCCACAGTGTCTCACCTCCAATGCCGCCTGCTTCCATCACCAGCCCTAGTTAGGGGTCTTTCATCACATTCTGCTGCAAGAGGAAGCGGATGATAGCTTTTGAAAGTCCTGGGGTCTGCTTTTCCTCATCCAGAGCCGTGCTTCCTTCACGCAGTGGGTAGAAGCGGGTGTCCCTGCAGTGCTTCCGCAAGACTGAGCAGCCATCCCGGTTGAAGATGACCCGGGCCATCTGGAAGCTGCGGAGGGTGTACTTCTGGCTCCCTTGGCCCCTCAGTTCAGCAATTTTCTGAGACAGGCACTGGCAGACAGATGCCAAGAGCGGGTCCCCAGAGGCTGGCTGGGGATGGCTGAACACTTCATAGAATCTATCCAGGGATTCTCGAAGCCCATTGTCCTCTTTCTTGGCCTCCAACTGGCTTTTGGCAGAAGAGTCAGGCCAGAGGTTCTCACAGATCCAAGAGTCTTTTTGTTCAGCATTTAGGTTGCCGCTGTCTGTAAGACAAAACACATTCCAATTCTTGAACACACAATCAAAAACACCAGAAACTAAGCCAAGAACAGGTGATGTCTCTTTTCAGCTTGGCACAAGTAACTCCAGAGAACTGGCAATGGCAGAATCAGCTGACTTCAGAATCTGTTCCCCCTTCCCAGGTTATGCCACTTGTTGGTTCCCAACAAAAACATCCTACTCCCATGTATTAGGGGTTGCTAATCTAGGGTCCCTGTGTAGAAATTCAGGGTGGCTGTGAACTTGGATGGGAAAAAGTCTTATCTTTATTTTCACTAACCTCCAATCTGAAATTGAGCATTTTCCTCTATGATGAATATAGACAATAAACCACAGCATTAGCAGCAGCCCTTGTGACTTTGTTACCAAGAGATCACAGTTATTCTCATACCATATATAGTGTACTGAAGATACTTTGGGACCAAACTGTAAACTACTTGCCCACAAAATTCATGTGTTGAAGGCTTAACTCTTCATATGACTGCATTTGTAAAGGGTTTTTAGGAGGTAATTATATGAGGTAATAAGGATGGGATTCTAATCCAATAGGATTTGTGCCCTTATAAGGAAAGGAAGAGGAAGAGATGATGGGGGGCAGGGGGATATGAATCTTCTCTCTCTCCATGTGCAAGCAGCAAGGAAAAGCCACAGTGCAAAGACAGCTGTCTGCACCTTGCCAGAAACCAGCCAAGTGGCACCCTGACACTACACCTCCAGCCCCCAGTACTGTTGCTGAAGCCACTAGTTATGGGATTTTATTATGTCAGCCTGAGCAGACTAAGACACACTACTTTGAAATTATCATAGACCTCATGCTAGATCTTATTATTTATGCATTAATGAAAAAACATATTCATTGTAATATACTTTTTTACATTTTTTCGATAACTATTTTCAGTATTTTTTCTTGGTAATCCTATACAGTTATTTTATTTTATGCATTTAAAAACATTATTTTAGTTGAGTGTGGTGGCTCATGCATATAATCTCAGTACTTGGGAGGCTGAGGCAGGAAGATTGCTGAGAGTTCGAGGCCAGCCTGGATGACACAGGAGACCCTATCTCCAAAACAAACACATATATTATTTTTAGGAAAGATCACTCCAGAAAGAGTTCAGGGAAGTCCCCAATTGAGCAGTTCTGAGCAATTACACAGTTATTTTCTTATTTGGACTCCCTATAACAATCTTATAGACTATATCTAAATTAAGACCACCACCTTTGTGTTTTTTGAAGGGGGAGTAAAACATACACTATGTGATTTAACCATAGACAATAAGAAACCTGAACCAAAGCCAACTTCTCACCCCTTCTTTACTTTTCTGTACCTCTCTGATCACTCTTATTCTTAACATAGTTATCTCTCAGGTCTTTTGAAACACAGGGCTTTCTTTCCTATCAATATGTTCAAGCAAAGACTTCATAAAAATAATTCAAAGTATTTAACTTGTAGAATTCCTCATATAGCTACACATTTTATTAAAATTTTATACTTTTTTGTTTGTTTTGTTTGTTTTTTAAGATAGGGTCTTCCTAGGGTAGTTCAGGCTGGCCTTGAACTCATAGCAATCCTCCTGCCTCAGCCTCCTGAGTGTTGGGACTACAGGCGTGGGCTACCATGCCCAGTCTAGCTTTCTTATCTTTAAAGCAAAGACTTTACGAGGTGATCTTTCTTTCAGAGCGTCTACTGTAATATAAGGACAAGTAGTCCAATGATCAGAGAACACAGAAACAGAGTTTGTTTAACGAACAAAGGTCAAGTTGCAAAAAGAAACAGAAAATAAACTACTTCATGGCTGGTTCCAGTTCTCCTTGTCTACCCGCCAGCCATGTCTTCAACTGCCCGAGACTCAGCCTGGAGACAGAAGGAGAATGAGAACTCTCAGAGAGGCCAGACAGGCTACTGAGACCAACAGTGAAGACTATATTTTTATAGAGTTTAATAGCAGGGATAGTTTTCCCACTAGAGTAGTTCCCAGAATGCCTAAAACTATGTCCTATGCTCCCTCCTCAAGCATATAAAGGAGGCAGGGGGTGGGGGAGAGAAAAGGAAGGAAAGGGGAAGGAGGGAGAGAGGAAAGAAGGAAGGAATGGAAGGAAAGCTAAAGAAACTTCCCTCGATTCTGCTAGTTCCAAAGCTTCTTCCCAGTTCTCCTGCCTCAGTTTTTCCCAACAACCCCATGGCTGGATAAGCTTCACCCAGTGAAGCCTCCTGAGAGGGTGGAAGGGAAAGGAGGCAGATGCTGGCCTCTTTCTGGTCCTTTTGTAGGGAAACAGTGGGAAAGGACTTCTCAGCTTATCAAGCTTATCAACACTGAGAAACTTCCAGACAGCAGGAGACTGAAAAGAAACAAAACCACTAAATGCAACAGGTGATTTTGAACTAGATGCTTTTATTAAAGCCCATCACTGGAACATTTGGAGCACTGTGAACAAGGTCCGTGGATTAGATGGTAGGAATGAAGTGACTTATTTCGTGGTGAAGTTTAATTTTGTTATGTAAGGGGGGTGAAGGGCATCAGGTTGACAATTTTCTCTCAAATAATTCATTAAAAAGTTATTTATATAGTACTTGCAAATTTTCTGAGTTTGAAATTGTTTAAAAATTTTTAAACAAAACTCTGGAGGGATGATTGCTAAATTTTCTTTGGTAGCCCACTTTAAAATTAAAACAATCAATGCAACAAAAGCCTTAGCCCAGGGCTTGGCAAACAGTGCTTGCCTAACAAATGGTATTGCTGTCAAAGAAAAGGAGAAGGGAGAGGGATGCGGACCCACAGTGCTGCATGAGGTGTCTCTTGCCACGTCCTTCCCCATAGATGATGTGGTGCCAGGGTGGGAAGGCAGGAAGGAAGACGGGAGTGATTTCTGTCAGTGGAAAGAGAAAGAGAGCAGGAAAATCCCTGGCAGAAACACTGGGAAGTTGGAGAATTCCTAAATAGCACTCCAGGAGCACGACACATCCTTGTAAGGAACTGGTCGATACACTTTGATATTCACAATTTTAAATTCTCATCTGAGTATCATTTTCAGCTTTTGTTTAATTTTAATTTCTGAAACCTAGTGTCTACAAAAGAGCCTAAAAAGTAGCCATCTCCTCTATTTTTCACGCAAATGTCAAGCAGACTACAATTCATCTTCAAAGAAACAACCCTTCTCTTACAAGAACAATGACATATGGCTGAGTCATTTAATGTGTCAGTTCTTTTGAACACTGCCTCCAGCCCATTTTAGGCTTTCATTTCTTTTAAAATGTGCTTTACTACAACTGCGAAGCCTTCTCACTAATCATGTGGCTATTGTGACCTTTTTCATGTCTCCAGCAGGCGAGACTAACCACCTTCCTGATGCGCCTACACGTGGGGAAAGCGGTGGGTCTTCCAGAACTCCTGGCACCTGCCCAATGGTGCAGCCTCCCAGCTGTGCTCACACCCTACCTTATTCTCATTCACACACCCACATCTGTAGGGCTCTTGACTAGAAACGGTAATGTCCACACGAGGGAGAGTCTGGAGACATTGTTGTGTCAGTGATTACAAAGCGCTACCTGCATTCAGTGAGTAGGTCACAGATACAAACATCCCAGAGCATATGGGGCAATTCTATAGAGCAGAGAATTGTCCTCCCCCACATGCCAATAACGTCCTCCTCATCCCAATGTCCCCCTCCTCCCAGTCCTACCTGAAGAGAACAGAGATTCAAAGGATGGATTTTGGAAGGAGCAGAAATGAATGCTGAATCCCAGTGCACTGTAATATCCTAAGTATTGACCCTAAGCTTCTCAAGGTACTTTGCTATTACTCCCCTTCCTGGTACCCTTCTTGCTGGTACTGTTCATGTTGTGTATTCTTCTCTTCTCAAACCTTGAGATGGCTTTTTCCTTCCTCAACAAAGGCTCCATTCCCAAGGATTCTGGCATTACCTAAATTTGGTAGAACTTCCCTCTTTATTTCAATATACTTCCCATCATGAAAAAGGATTTCTTTAGGAATGTACAAGAAGAAGTGGAGGAGGGCAGAGCTTAATACAACAATGCTTTTGCCAGGGATTTAGCTCAGTGGTTCCACCACCTGCCTCACAAGCGCAAGGACCGGAGTTTGATCCCCGGTACCAAACAAAAACAAAAACAAAAACAATGTTTTTGCATTCTTTGTTTCAAAGTCATGTAATGACCAGTGCATCCATTTGCTAAATTTTCTCTTGAGGAATGAAAGAAGGAAGGAAGAAAGGGAGGAAAGGAGGGAGGGAAGGAGGAAGGGGTGAGGGAAGGAGAAGGGAAAGGAAGAGAAGGGAGAACACATATAGATGTTTGAGATTCTTATAAAAGCAAAAATATATCTTTAGAAGTTATGGCTGCTAATTTGAATTCAGTAATGCAAGGGAATCAATTACCATGGAGCACTCAAGATTAATGGTTGCATTCTATGAAGAGATGCCATTAGCCTTTAGAAACCAAGATGTCCAGTGGGGGATTCTTTCAAAGAAACATCCATGGCCTCTTCTACCTTTGATAAATGGACAGCAGGATTGTCTTTGTGAAACATTTTAGCCTTCAATGTTAACAAGTTTCTACAAACTCCACTTGATATTCAGAATTCTGCCTCCTTTGTGCATCTACATCTATAGCTGCCCACAGTGATTTTTCTTTTGTCTAGACCTCTACTAGCAATGGCTCATTAGGAAGATCTGTGGTTTCAAGGCTGTGCAGAGTGAAAGAATCTAAGACTTAATTCTATAAAAATGGAAAAGCATGAGGATTTGGGGAAAGAAGGAATACATGGTTTATAAGGCTTTCTCACTGCATGGGAGGAACAGCCCCCCATTCAGGGCTCTGCATGGCTCACTCCTGAGCCTCCCAGGCCCAGCTGCCTTGGTTTGTCTGCTGGAGGCTCCTTGGGTTCTGTATGGCTCTAAAAGAAAATCATGGGTATGAGAAGAGCAAGGTACATAGAGCATGAGGACACGGTCTGGTCACCAGTATCCA